GATAAAATTCAGTTGGTAGTAAAAATATTAATTAATGCCCAACTGTACTGTACTGTACCTCCCAGTCTTACCTTGACGTTCATTTCCCTCGCCATGTTGTGATGATAGAAACTCCTGTACATGAACTTTGACATGGCTGATAAAATTGTCAACGGAATCGGTAAATATATCTTTACATGTAGACCACTCACACTGTAAATACAACTCCCGATACTTCATTCCCTTTGGAGGCATACTAATTGCACGTAATTGTTTCTCTTAGTGCTGGAATACAAAATAGACAGAGTGTGAAAGATATCAATTTTAAAGCGAGAGGGTCGTCACCTGTGCATGTGCGGGAATACAGTCCCAAGAGACAATAACAACAAACGCTAATAATGCAAAGGCTCATGGGTAGACGCTTGTTTGTAAACAATTACGCGCAGGTGACGACTCTCCGCTTTAATATGAAAGATATAGATCCCATGTGACATATAAAATGAATGTAAAATACTAATTTTTGTTTACATGAAAAATGAACAGATCTAACTAAGCGCTACCCTTCTTATCACAAACTTGATTGTAAACTTTAGAATCAGAGCCCGGTATTACCAAGAATTTGTAAGACCAGGGTATGAAGATGAAGCTCTTGTATGAATTGAAAAAGTCGTGTGAATAGACCATTTTTCATTCGAGATCCCGTGTTATGCGTGAAATTGAAGGCAACAACAGGACAAAGGTCATAGCATTGTAGTGACATCAAACATCGCGTGGGATTCGACAAACAAAGTACATGTATTTTGGGGAATATTTCCACACTTAATTATGTGCTGTACACATTGATGATGGTCAATTCAAAATCACAAGAGAAATATACATTTCTAGAATCTTAATGAAAATTAGTGAGTCTGTGAAAAAACAGGTTTGTCTCAGAATGTTGGTAGTATCTGTGCTTATTCACAAAGGGTGTAATACATTTTGTGTTTTTTGAATGTGGTGATATTCTTGTTTATTATTTGTTTATACAATGACACACCCACTGCATTCTATTTTTCTATTGATTCGAACTATGTTCAATTGATGGAATAGGATCACTTACAAACTTTTGCTTCTTGTTAATTTTTATATTTATTTTTTAAGCAAAGAAATGGATTGTTGAAATAGACGATGCATTGATTTTACAGTGGTCACATTTCCTAGCTTTTGATTTGTTTTAAATAGTACTGATCGATTTATTCTGATTTCCACCTATCAAGTGATTGGATTAAGCGCACACAGTCAATGCCGAGAATGCAATGCCTGAAGAATGGGCATTGTCTTCATGCACTGCGTATATTGTGAAGTAGTCACGTCATAACCAAATATTATTTGTATTAACAATCTGAAGATAAAGTTGAATACTTGTAAACCACTGAACATGTTATGACGTGGTCTGATGGACGAAAATCACAGATTTCCCGTGTTTGAGTGAATGACCTGACTGATAAAGGCCACTTAATGACCTTTACTTCCGCGCCATTTGTCGATGTGATTCACAGTCAGTTCGCCCCAATGCACATTCGCCCCAGACCAGTTCGCCCCACAGTCAGTTCGCCCCACAGTCAGTTCGCCCCAAAGTCGGTTCACCCCAAGTTTACTGGTGTTCGTTTTCGCGGTTATGCGTGCAAGGAAATGTGGTTTTGAAATATTTTAAAAATTATACTAAAGTAAAGCCACATCGAAGGACGCTGATCGCCGCGATTCATGATTGTAGCATATCGCCCGAACCCGTGCTGTGCCGTGTGCTATGATCGCAGACTCGTTTGACCTATTAGTCCGTACGACACTCTCCGACCCGATAGATTTTATAATTGGCGTTCACAGGTCAAAGCAGCCAGCAATCTTTCCGTTCAGGCTTCGATGAGATCCGTAAACTGGACGAGCTTTGAATAGTTTATCGAAAGGTCGAATCG